TTGGGAGTTTGGGCGGTTGGGAGGCTGAGAGGCTGGGAGGTTGGGAGATTGGGAGGCTGCGAACTTTGGAGGTTGGGAGGCTGGGAGGCTGGAAGGTTGGGAGGCTGGGAGGTTGGGAGATTGGGAGGCTGGGAGGCTGCGAGCTTTGGAGGTTGGGAGGTTGGGAGGCTGGGAGGCTTGGGAGGCTGGGAGGCTGGGAGGATTGGAGGCTGGGAGGTCCCCCCCATCGCTCCGGACTCCGCCCCTGCCTGTCCCCGTCGTGAGGAAAGAGTCTCCGGCCTCCTCGATCTCTTCCTCATCCTCCCACGGTCACCAGAGTCGTTGATCCTGCCTTTTCTTCCTTCCGGCGAACTCCTGCTCATGCCTCAAAACCCAACCCAAAAAGCCCAACCTCGGGGAAACACAGCGAATCACCGCGTTCTCCGTGCTTCGCTCGCCCTGCGAGCTGCCCCCTCTGGGTCAAGGAGTTATTGGAGGCCACTACGCCCGTGTCTGTCGTACGCCGTGTCTCTCTGGTCCCCCCGGCGGTCCCCAAGGCAAACCAGCTCACAGTTGCTACCCACGGAACCCCTGAACCCCGGGGGGGAAAGGCCACGATCGATTAATGCTGATTCCCGGAGGTTTGGGTTTTTTTGGCTGGGCTTTGAGGCATGAATAGGAGTTCGCCGGAGCGGAAAATAAAGCAGGAAGGGAAAGGATAGGGGGGAAGGTGATGCACAAGCGTTTGCAGAGGGGACGGGGGGAGGCCAAGGGCGATATATGCGTCACCTTAACATATGCACCCCTACAATATGGTGAAATAGATAAATTAATAATAATAATAATAATATAAAAAACAAGAAAAAAACGAAAGGAAGCATTTGCAGAGTGGTTTTCTCCGGGCTCCTCCAGGAGGCAGAGGATGAGGGACAGAGGCTGAAAGTTGTCACTTGTCCCCCCTGTACCGTTTGCATTTTTTCTCTTTTTTTAGCAAAAACCGTGGTACTTTCATAATTTTTTTTACAAAATGAGTTTAATTCTGTATATCAATTTTTTTTCAGCGACCAAAATCACCTTTTTGAGTGAGGCTTTTGCATGTAGCGCGAGCTCTCCTCATAAGGCTCTTTTTTATTTTTTTTTTTTCTTGTTTGGGACAGAGTCCCGCTCTGTCGCCCGGGCTGGAGTGAGGGCCGTGGCGTCAGCCTCGCTCACAGCAGCCTCTGACTCCTGGCCTCTAGCGAGCCTCCCGCCTCGGCCTCCCTCCCGAGTAGCTGGGACTACAGGCATGGGCCTCCACGCCCGGCTCGTTTTTTTCTATATATTTTTAGTTGGTTAATTAGTTTCTGTTGATAGTAGAGACGGGGTCTCGCTCTCGCTCAGGCTGGTTTCGGACTCCTGGCCTCGAGCGAGCCTCCCGCCTCGGCCTCCCAGAGTGCTGGGAAGACAGGCGTGAGCGACGCGGCCTGCAAAGCTCTTGGATGGCGCGGGGCAGCTGGGGTCGGCGGGAGCACAGCGGCACCCGGCCGGGGGTGGGGGAGGAGGATGGAGGCTGCGCATGCTGCCTCCCTCTCCCTCCTCGTCCCTCCCCCTCCTCCTCCTTCCTCCCTCGTCATCCTCCCTCCTCGTCCTCCCTCTCCCTCCTCCTCCCTCCTTGTCCCTCAACCTCCGTCCTCCTCCTCCTCCCTCCTCCCTCATTGTCCTCCCTCCTCCTCCCTCCTCGTCCCTCAACCTCCGTCCTCCTCCTCCTCCCTCCTCGTCCTCCCTCCTCCCTCGTCATCCTCCCTCCTCGTCCTCCCTCCTCGTCCTCCCTCCTCGTCCTCCCTCCTCCTCCTTCCTCC